TGCGTGCCTCTTCCATCTTGCTGCAACTGGTGACGCTCTTGGGAAAGATCTTGAGCCCTGCATCCTTCATGCCTTGAAAGGTGTGCTTGAGGCATAAGAACATATTTTGACACATGGGTTTGCTAGATCCTCTCGCTGACTGGCCCAAAACATCAACCCACAATATGTGCGACATATTGACATGGACTGCAGTGATCTTGGCCATGATGAGATGTGTGGCGCATTTGCCGGAACACGTTCCCCCGCGGAGCCCCTGCACGATTGAACGTGTGCGGTTGAACGGGAGGCCGTAGGCGCCTGCTTGCCGAACGCACTTCGTGGCCATGCATTTCTGAAGTTCTATGCCAAGGGTCTCGGGTGGAAAGCCAAGTCGTAGAGCAGCAGTGCCGATATGATGCCAGCCCACGCTGTCATAAACCTGTGCAATCTCCAGCCGCCCATGCCCGTGTGATACACCAAGCCTGCTAGCGACTTCCTCGTCGATTGCCTTGAGGAACACCTCGCGGACCGCAGCATTGCCTCTGATGGCTGCGTCCCAGTGCGCCTCGCAGCTGTCCGTCCAGTGACGAACATGGCCCTCACGCGCCTTGGACCATGTCCTGCCGAAGTTCGAGAGCAGGCCAATCACCCAACCCTTGCACCTTCTTGGGAAGAAGGGTGCAAATGGTGACCAGGGTCTGGTGTGGCCATACCTGATAATATCCACATAGACCGTAGGGCGCCGCCAGTTCAGCCAGAGCTGGATCAGGAAGTCGATCCAAGTCCTGACAGTTCAGCCTGTCGACTCCCATGGCTTGCCTTAGCTCATCGATTTCGATCGCTGGCAGGGGGTTGTCCTGGACCAGGAGCCGAATTTCGCCGAAGAGATCCTGGATCGCCTGCCAGTCGCAGGCCCCTTCGGGCCCCCAGAGAATTTCCCGCTGGTGAGTTTTGTGCTCCAGAACGTCCCGAGGATGATGCAGAACGCCCTCTCCAGAGTCGACCCGCTCCTGAGGCACAGAGGCCTCGCGCAGGGCGCGGTGCAGCGCGCCAGCAGCAGGAGCGGTCTCGGACTAGTCGCGAAAGCTCCGAATCGATTGATGAACTGCACGTTGCTGCCCGCCGAGCCACGCGATATGCGAGCTCCACTGCTGAGGAGAGCTCTCCGTCGCTGATGACCGTGTCGCAGATCGCCGCGAGGGTGCTCTGCCACTTGGTCCAGGAGAAAGGGTCCTTCTGACGCACCACTCGGTGCGCTTCCGATGGGTAGATCTGGCGCAACTCCTTGACGGTTGCAACGTAGCTCTGCTTCTGCTGTTGGCCCTGGGGCTTACCGGAGAAGTGCTGCGCGCCGCGAATTGCAGTCGCCGAGCGCGTCCGCCAGCTTGCTACCTGATCACGAATGTGAGTAGCCCGCAGAGGCTTCGCCAATTTAACTACGCCGAGTCGAAACTGAGAGGCTTGCCCTTTCGACACCGAAGGTGCAGTCGCCTGATGATGAGAATGCGCAGCTGTTTCTGTTTCGACTGTGCTCACCCAGCTACAACAAAGAGCGGAAATGTGTGTCGAAGCTTGGACTGAAGCTCCGATCCGACATGCTACGGATTGTGCAACCACGGGTGTCGGCCCACAAGCCTTCATAGGAACGAACCCAATCTTTGTCCTCGCGGTCAACCGTGTAGAGACGGGCACGCAGAAGGGCGCAGAGGGCTCGAAGCTCACCGCCTGGGACGACATCTCCTGGGCCTGTGGGTCACGAGACTCGGTGCGGGGGTCTAAGGTTTGTTCACTATCATCTCGCTGAATTCCAGATTCGACTGTAGCCGAGGGGTTGGGGGGTTCTATGACGCTGACTGAGGCGTCAGAAACGGGCAAACCAAGAGCAGCGGCAACCCGATCCCCTTGCGCGGGCTGCCCTGACCAGTTGGCCTCGTCGGCCCACGGGTCGGCCTCGGAGATGCCTCCCCAGTCGCGGTCGGGGTGGCAGCTGGCGGAGTCCGAGGCGAAGCCGTCCTCGCCTGGGACTCACTGGCTGCCTTCCCCATCCTGCAGACGGCCGGTGTCAAGACTCCCCCCGAACCATTCTATAATCTTCTGATTCCTTTTCTCGCGAGACAATTCGAGAGCAAGAGCCTGTTTCGCCTTACTCTGCTGAGACTTGGAGCCAACTGTGGGCTCCCGCTTAGGCCGTGACACCTGGGGAAGCCTCGGAGGAAGCTCCAAGACACGTGTGAAAAGCTGCCCCGCAGAACCTGCGAGCTCAATGTCGAGCCCCGCGTGAGGCCTCCAAGGGGCATCGCTGATGGCACTGTCACTGCGAACGTAACGACGCGCGGCAGGACACACGACCAGGTAGTCTAGATGGGAACCTCCTTGCCCTCCTTTTCTAAGACAGGTTGGCACTGCCGAACTACAAAGAGTCTGCCCTCCAACGCGCTCAAGAAACCCTGTTCGAGCGAGCGACGTCGGACTCATGCCCCAATCGCCTACAACTGCCCAGGGAATTCGGATCACATTGAGAAGGCTAGCTAACTTACGAAACCTTGGCACATTCTTGTCACTGCAGCCGATGGGCGAGTGGGCATAGAACACAATGATGGCAAACGAGAAACCTTTTTAAAAATGCAATACGAGGTTCAGAAAGCCGTCGAAAGCTTGGCTGTCCTCCGCTCGCAGGCCACGGGCTGCCAGTGCAACGTCAAGCATCTGCACAGGCAAATTATTCTTTCAGGAAAAGGCCTTACCACCTTCACTGGAATTCTCGCACTGTTGCCGCTTCCACTTAGACCTGCCTCGTGCGGCGTTGACGTAAGTCCTCATGGAATGCCCCTTGGCCCGCATCTGCCACTTACGAGACTGATGCGGGAGTGCATGACTCTCACATAATGCAAAGTACTTTAAACGTTCACGAACCATCTGAAGATGTGCCCACACCTTCTCACTCAAGCAGGTGACGTTGCTGAAGAAAACCCCGGTGGACTCCCAGTTGGCGTCGGAGGCCGCGGTGCTGGTGACATCCCCCGATGTCGAAGCTGACGAAATGCAAGTCGTGCTTACAGTGCCCGAAGAAGCCATGGCAGTACTGGTGGTACTGCAGGCGCCATGATGCTGCTCGCGTGAGCAGCCCGCCGTAGTGGTAGTCGAGGTCCCTGGTCAAGAGACCGCGCCGCCTTTGCCGCGAGGGGTGCCACCACTAGGCGCGCCGTCGCCTTTGGTCTTCCCCTTGGTGGCCGCGGCCTGGCTGTCCTCGGGCGTGGCACCCTGGGCCGCGGCGAAGCTCGCCTGGGAGAAGCGGGCTGCCTCCTTCTTGAGCCGTTCCTCCGCCTCGGCGTTCGCCGCCGCCTCCGCGCTCGCGTCGCCTGACGGCGCTGGGGTGGCCTCCGCCGCTGCCGCCGCCTGGGCCGCGCCCGCTGTGCCAGCCGCCTCCGCAGCAGCCGCTTGCCCATTGGGCCTTGCGCTTCTTGGCCATGCGCTCCTTGACCTCCTCCTGCGCCTTCTTGGCACGGTCCATGAACTGCTGCCACTCGTCATTTCTCTGCTTGAGCGTGCTCTGGTACGACTTCAGCTCCTCCTGGAGCTTGAGCAGGCTCGGCCTCCTCGCAGTCCCAGGTCTCGAAGGTCGCGAAAATATCCGTGTTGATCTTCATACCGAAAATTTTCAGGCTCGGGCGTCTCGCCCGCAGCCTTGTGCTCCTGGAAGCCCTCCGCCCTCGCCAGGGCTGCCGTGGCCGTGCGGCGCGCGGCGTCGGCACGAGCGAGGTCGAGGGCCGCCTCCTGCTCCTTGCCCTGCGCCGTGGTGAGCTGGCTTTAAGGAGCCTCACCACCTGTTGCACCAACTGCTCGTGTTGGTTCTTGGCCGCCCTTGAAGGCGCTGTCGGCCTTCTTGACCTGGTCGACGTCGGACGGCGCCGCCGCCGCCCGCTGTGCCTCCAGCCTCGTCTTCTGGGCCTTGAGCACCGCCTGCAGCTCGTGGTCCTTGCACTGCTGGAGCGCCTGCGTCGAGAGCGACACGTCCTCGAGCTCGGGCTTGCTGCCGGCCTGCAATTGCTGCCGAGCACCGCCGCCTCCCGACTGGTCCGTGGCGAAACGGACGCTCCTGTTGTTCTCAACGCTCGGTGAGCGGGAGGGCGGCTTGTCCAGGTAAGCCTTCCTCGTACAACCTCGGCAGCGGCAGTCGGCCAGCAGCAGTTGGTCATTGTACTCACAGGTCTGACGATATGCACACTTGGACAAAGGCCTCGAAATGCGGGCTGCCGCACGTGCCTTGCCCATGACTGAAGAAATATTGCGAATGTTCCCAGCTCTCGTTATCGGAGCCTGTGGTCAGGACAGCATGCTATATCCCTCAAGCACCCCTGTGGACGTACTGGGATTAACTCTGAAGTGGGCCGGGTCCCCAAGACAGCCAAGCCCCCTGTTGGCCGAATCACCTCAGGCCACATGGCTTGAGGGATGAGGAGGAGGAGGAGGAGGAGGAGGAGGAGGAGGAGGAGGAGGAGGAGGAGGAGGAGGAGGAGGAGGAGGAGGAGGAGGAGGAGGAGGGAGGAGGTTGAGGAGGAGGAGGAGGAGGAGGACGAGGATGAGGGCGAAGGGGAGGGGGAGGAGGAGGACGAGGTCGAGGAGGAGGAGGATGAGGAGGAGGGAGAAGAAGGAGGACGAGGTCGAGGAGGAGGAGGAAAGCGAGGAGGAGGAGGAAGACGAGGAGGAGGAGAAGGAGGAGGAGGAGGAGAAGGAGGAGGGAGGAAGAGGAGGAGGAGGAGGAGAAGGAGGAGGAGGAGTAGGAGGAGGATGAGGAGGAGGAGGATGTTGAGGATGAGGAGGGGAAGAGGAGGAGTAGGACAAGGATGAGGGCGAAGGGGGGGGGAGGAGGACGAGGTCGAGGAGGAGGAGGAGGGAGGTCGAGGAGGAGGAGAGACGAGGAGGAGGAGGAGGAGGAGGAGGAGGAGGAGGAGGAGGAAAACGAGGAGGAGGAGGAGGAGGAGGAGAAAGAGGGGCCACGCTTCCCCTCCGTCCCACGCCAGGCGTTCGAGGCCCTGGGGCTGACGGAAGGTGCCACCGCAGCGGAGCTCGCCGCGTCCTTCCGGCGCGCCCCTTGGCGCGGGGATCGTTTTACTTGGCGTCGTCCTCGGTGTTGCCCGTCGACGGCAGAGTCATCGTCGTCATCGTCGCCTCAGACTTCGGTGTCGCCGTCGCCGTCGTCGCTGTTTTCCGAAGAGGAGGAGGAGGAGGAGGAGGAGGAGGAGGAGGAGGAGGAGGAGGAGGAGGAGGAGGAGGAGGAGGAGGAGGAGGAGGAGGAGGTGGAGGAGGAGGAGGAGGAGGAGGAGGAGGAGGAGGAGGAGGAGGAGGAGGAATCAGAAGATGAAGAAGAAGAGGAGGAGGAGGATGTTGAGGGGGGATGGGGGGAGAAGGGATGAGGTGGTTGAGGAGGGACGGGTACTGTAAGCTTGCTGCGAGCGCTGCAGTGCGCGTGCCTCTCGGGGTGGGGAGAGTGGAGGAGCGATGAGGGAGGAGGGAGCGAGGAGGAACGAGCAGGTTTCAGGGGGTGTCGGAGGTTCTTGGGGTCACTCAGCCATGATAAAATGTTGTGCAGCTTTGCCAGGGCTTTAGGGGGGCTCCCGTAGGTGGCTGGAGGAGGTGAGCGGAGGGGAAGAAGGAGACGAGATGCATACTTCATCCGACGAGGTGCGGACGCGGGGGCTCCCAGAAGACACTCTTCGCTCGGGCCCGAGGAGCCTCTGGGGGAGCCACCTGCGGGATCAGGGTGATGAGGGGTGACGAGGGGAGGATGATCATGGTGATAGGGATGATGATGACGGTGACGATCTTGAAGTGGACCGATATGCACCCACTCGCGGATCAGTGGAGAAAGTGTAAGGAGGAGATTGTGAAGGAGCATGCGGACGAATACGGCGAGGAGAAGGCTGACAACACCTAAGCTTGGCAGACTGCAGCAAATCTTTCGTGCACGTGCCCAATCTCGTTACATTTGTTGTTCCCAACCATCATTGTGGTGTTGGGTCTTCGTTTTGAAGAGACAGCGCCCCGTGTTCCCCACTCACTCCTTCCTCCTCCTCCTCCTCCTCCTCCTCCTCCTCTTCCTCCTCCTCCTCCTCCTCCTCCTCCTCCTCCTCCTCCTCCTCATCCTCCTCATCCTCCTCATCCTCCTCCCTCTTCCCTACGTTTCCCCCACCCAGCACAGCGTTACGTGGCCCCGTAGGGAGTTCCACCGAAGGTCCCAGTGGCGGAGCTCGAATGCGGTTGCTGCGCCCAGTGCAGCGTTTTGCGTTCCCATCGGGAGCTCCACCGAAGGTCCCAGTGGCGGAACTCGCATGCGGTTGCTCAGCCCAGTGTGGTGTTTCGTGGCCCCACACGGAGCCCCACCGAAGGTCCCAGTGGCGGATCTCGCATGCGGCTCTTGCGCCCAGTGCAGCGTTTTGCGGCCCCATGGGAAGCTCCACTGAAGGTCTCAATGGGTGCGGTGTTTCGTGGCCCCATAGGGAGTTTCACTGAAGGTCCCAGTGGCGGAAGTCGCATGCGGTTCCTGCGCGCAGCACGGCGTTTCGTGGCCTCATAGGGGGCTCCACCGAAGGCCCCAGCGGCGGAACTCAAATGCGGTCCCTGCGCCCATTACACCGGTTCGTGCCCCCACAGGGAGCTCCACCGACGGCCCCAGCGGCGGAACTCGCATGCGATTCCTGCGCCCAGTGCGGTGTCTCGTGGCCCCACAAGGGGGCTCCACCGAAGGTTCCAGTGGCGGAAGTCGCATGCGGTTGCTACGCCCAGTGCGGTGTTTCGTGGCCCCATAGGGTGCTCCACCGAAGGTCCCAGTGGCGGATCTCGCATGCGGCTCCTGCGCCCAGTGCAGCGTTTTGCGGCCCCATGTGAAGCTCGACCGAAGGACTCAACGGCGGAACTCGCATGCGGTTGCCGCGCCCTGTGCGTTGGTTCGTGGCCCCATAGGGAGCTCCACCGAAGGTCCCTGTTGCGGAAGTCGCATGCGGTTCCTGCGCGCAGCACAGCGTCTCGTGGCCTCATAGGGGGCTCCACCGAAGGTCCCAGTGGCGCTCCGTAGCCATTTGGCTCAAAATTCCATGCTTGGGAGGCTGCTAGCCTCCAGGCGACAGCGGGGTAGCTCTGTTCCCCGAGCTTGCGATTCATCTTCTTGTGGTGCCAGGTCCGCCCCTGGTCATCACCTGCCTCCCTCAGCCCGAGGGTGCGCAGTCCTGATGCGACTTTGTCTGTTCGCTTGGACCCAGTGGCTCTCATGGCGAAGTGCTGGCAGTGCGTGCGGTGCAGTGGCTGCACCCCACAACATCTTTCACTCTGTATCAAGGCTGGCTGTAAGGGCAAGCAGACAGACCACAATGTGCCAGCAGCGAACGAGAACCACGCGCCTAGGGGAAGTGGGCAGTCGGCGGCGGCAGTCTCGGAGCTCCCTGGACCAAGCAGGGACCCAAAGGCGGCGGCGGCAAAGGGCGTGGTGGCAAAGGGCTCGGACCTAACGGCGGAGGGCCCGCTGTTCCCGCAACCCTCACGCTCTCGCCAGAGAAGATTGCAGCCTACGCAGCCATGGCCGTGGACTCGTATGAGATCGTCGAGGACGGACTTCCACGCAGCAGCCGAGACAAGGTCGAGCTGGCACGTCGAAAGGCAGCCGCTGGTGTCCTGGGCTCGGGGGCGCGGAAGCTCCCTCTGGCAGTCGATCAAGCATCGCTGGCGGGCGCCACAGCCACGCGTGAGCGCCTGTTGGGGAACTCTCGCAAGGCTCTGGAGGCGTTGGCAGACGCGATCGGGCCCCAGCCGAGCGCAAGGCGGAGCTCATGCAGGCCAAGCAGCAGGCCGCGAAGGTCTACCCTTCCACCACGGCTGAGGACACGCTCCGTTCCGTCAAGGACAAGGTCGCCTCCATCGACACGGATGCCAAGTCTGGTGCTGAGGTCCTGGCTAGCCTCGCCACGATTCTGTGCGAGATGGCTGCAGCCGCGGCCCCACCACATCCCGAGGCAGAGCCTGCCCGCGCTGTGCCAGCCGCAGGTGCAGGTCCCGGCGCTCCTGGCGCAGGCGCATGTGGTGGCGCAGACGAGGCTGATGCACCCATGGCAGCCGATCCAGGCAGCGGCGAGTTCGACCAGTTCATGGAGGGCGAGGATCTTGGAGGACTTCTCGGCAGCGCTGCGGGCGAGAGCGAGAGGAAGAGGCCCCATGAGGCACTGGACGCGCTCAGTCGCGGTCAACTGCAATGCTTGCTCGAGGCTCGCCAACCTGCTTGGTGCAGCCACTGTCAGGTGCTGCGACTTCGTTGCCGTTCAGGAGACGCGCTTGGATTCGCAGCGCACCCGAGACGTCCAAGGGCAGCTTCGACGGCTCGGATGGGTCCCGGAAGCTGCGCCAGCGATCAACGCTGGTTTTGGCTCCCAGGGCATTGGGTGTCGCGTGCAGATGGCGCCCCACCACCTCGGGCTCGTGCCGTTCGACTTGCTCGGCAAGCAAGCTGTGCTGGAGCCTGGTCGCTCCATCATCTCCCACCTCAATGGCGTCTGTAGAGGCGGCATCGCTTGGGTCAACGTGTATCTGAAGGTCAACGTCGGGCTCAACCAGAGCAATGCCGACGCCCTCTACGCGGTGCTCAAGGCCCTGCAGGCGGCCAACAGGCCCTTCATCGTGTGCGGGAACTTCAACATGGAGCCGTCGGTCTTGGAAGAGTCTGGCTGGCTAGAGGCGGCGCAGGCGGTGTATGCTGCGCCCACGGAGGCCACGTGCAGACCTGCAGGTAGGATTATCGATGACTTCGTGGTCTCGAGTCTCTTCCGCGGGGCCAAAGTCAGCTTTTTTTTCCGCGGGCTGGACATCAGCCCGCTCTTCCCACTTGCGCTCGAGCTGCTCGGCCCGAGCAGGCACCAGAAGGTCACCGTCATGCGTGCGGCCAAGCGGCTGCCTCTGCCCAGGCCGCTGGCCTGCTGCGCGCAGGGTCATGGCCCAGCTTGGCGCGCCGTTCGTGACCAGCTCGAGCGCGTGGCAGACCTAGACAGCATGCGGCAGGCGTTCGTCAAGCAGGCGGATGTCAACATGATTGACGCGCGCGGGCTCATCCACGACCTCGACAGGTACTCAGGCCGCGCGGAACGGCGCAGGCTTTCAGCCACCTTGGCCACGGCGCCGTCGCCGCCGAGACTGCCACGCGTCGCTCGAGCCTCGACCTGGCGCATGTCTGCTGCTATCTGTCTCTGGGACGCAGCGCAGATCGAGCGGCCGCTCACCAGATTCGGGGCCCTGCGTGCCTTGGGTAGGCTGGCTAGCAGGCCGCCGTCCGACTTCGCAGAGCTGCAGGGCGCGGTCAGCATCATCGCCAGCGGAGCGCAGGATTTCTTCCTTGGTCAGCTTGATGTGCTCAGTGCGGCGTGCTTGAGCTGGTCTGAGGCAATGTTCAAGACGGATCTTGATCAAGCCTCCGAGAACTACAGCGACTGGGTGCAGCACTCTGTCGCTACGGGCTCAGGCGGCATCCATGCTTTCACGAAGACGGCGCAGTCTTGGAATGCGAAGCCAGCCTACACAGTTGGTCTGGCGCCGCCCACCGTTCAGCAGAGCCTGCAGGCGCTAGTCGACGAGCGGTCCATTTACTGTGACATCGTCGCCCCCCAGGCCCTGCCTGTCCAGGCAGCAGGTGGCGGTGCGCATGAGGCTGAACCAGCAGTTGGAGGCGAAAAGGGGGACCTTCCCCGACGCAGCCACAGTCCCCCGCTGTTGAGCGAGGCTACGCTTCCCGACGCAGCTGTGAATGCTGCGAGGGGGCTCGAGCCCGGGAGGCATCGTCTTCCCTGGCCCGCGGACCTCGGAGAGCGCCCCGACAGGCCTTCTGTGGCTGTGCTGCGGAAAAAGATCTCGTCTTTCAAGCCTCAGCCTGGGCCCAACTTTGACAGCGTCCGTCCAAGTGAGTTCAAATTGATGGATGACCTAGGAATCGAGGCCCTCATTGGCTTGCTGATGGCTATCGAGCAGCATGCAGATTGGCCCAGCTTCATCACCAAGAGGGCCTTCACTCCCAAGGCAGATGAAGGCCTTCGACCCATCGCTCTGTTGGAT